ATCTTATCAGGACTATGGATACTCGTACTGGCTGGGAGACACTGTAATATCTTATCAGGACTATGGAAACTATCTTGAAGTGCTCATGGACAAATCTCACATCTTGTCGTACATTCGCTCGCTGTGGTAGATTTTTTTGATTCTTTAAACCGTACCCTGTTAAGGAAACGGTGTGAGAGAACTTTTTATTTTACCTCTCTCTCCTTATGTGTCTTCCCTTTTTCTATCTAAGCAATAAGGGCAGCGCTTCTTAGAAGCTGCAGCCCCTGTACACTTCCGTCCATCTTTAGGACGTCTGTACTGAACATAATTTCGCTCTACTTAACTGTGCAACGACAATAAAGCTTATTCTGATTCTGATACATCTAGACTGTCTAGACTTTGAAATGGCACATTAGTATCCATGAAAAGGGCCACAGAAAGATGCACTTTGTTTAATATTTGATGCGTTGATTAAGTCATCACTATCGCCACCTACTGGCTTGGCACGTTTATGTATATTTTTCCCATATTGTGCTGTTTGTCCGGATAAATATTCAAATTATAAGTATAAATGGGTGAAACGTAACGCTCAGGTACTAACTGCAGGTTGAAATTTATTTCGTGCATCTCTGATTTTTTTCTCCATTGATCTTTTCAACAGTCAGGTTGAGAGGAGCTTGCACGACCTATGAATATTTATGCAAGCTTTGAATGATCAGAGTGCTAAGCAGCTGCGTGTTTCTGTCTTTGTTTGGACGTGCACTTGCTTACATGCATTTGCATCTGTCAGGGTTTGCACTTTAAAGTCAAACAGCGGTGCTCCATTATGCAACTGGAGTTCAGAGAATTTAGCCTCGTGGGCTACTTATAGACCGTAATGTTTTCAAGAGATAAAAGCAGAAGGGAGGTGTGTGACAGTGTTTTTTTAATTTTATTTTAAAATGAGATGTTAAATAAATGAATGTTAGATAAGGTTTAGGATTGAGCTGAAAAACAATTTTCTAAAATCATCGTAGCAAATTATGTACTTTCTGCTTTTAAAAATAATGAGAATGTTTCATTATAGTTATTTACTATGGACTATTTTTATTATAAAACAATAATTCTTACTATGTATTTTTATTTGTTTGTCATGACAATTGTTTTGCTCAGCTTCATTAAAAGTCTTCAGTATTATACAGAATTAAAACTACAAATCAAATGTATAGTTTATAAAATAAATGCAAGTGTGAGATTATTTCTTTATTTCATTTTCTGTTATTTTTCTTGGCTTTTTTCCTGTTTATTCACCCTATTTGTATTATTTTCTCTTTTTAAAGTATATTTTATAAGTATTTTGAAAAAATGTACATATATAAGTTTTGCTATCTTTCCATTTTACTCTTTTTTTATTTCTCCAAACATTAGTTTCTGTTAATTTTGTACTTTTTTCCAAGCAGTTTCTATCATTAGCACCATTAGCATTAGCAGCTAGCTTAACTTGCATAAACTTTCGATAGCGATGGCCGAAAAGTGGTCAAGCATTCTGCGCAGCTTTTTGCTCTCACCATTTTACCCTTTTCTAGGAAAAAGGTTGAGAACGAGAAAACGAGTCCGAATGGTTTAACGGTGAGGCAGCCATTTTACATTTTAAGGTCCGGGTCATGTCAGACGTCTCACTTAATTCCAGTTATTTTTTCAGACTTTTCCCACTTCTCAGTACAAACAGAACACATGATAAAAACAAACAATATCCAATTACTCATTTTATGGTAGAGTTTTAACCTTAGATTTGGACTCGAGCCCTATCTACACAAGAAAGATTTCTTGAAACGTTAGCATGTTTCTGATGGTGACTGTGGGAAAAACACACATTTCCACTGTTACGCTGTGTTTGGTGAATCCAGATCACTAGCTGGAACTGTGGTTTTTATATTTCAACTATACGCATGAGCACAGACACAGGACAACAGCTACCTCCAAAACAATGAATGCAAGAACGTTAGTTTGGACCAAGGATGAAGATGGGTTGCTCCCACTTTTTGAAAATGGGTGATTAGCACAAACAGCACTCTCCTATCCACCACTGACACTGCTGTTCATCTACGCAAGACCAGAAAAACTATTGACTACCGCTGTCTTCGTAGTGCACACACCCAATTTCACACCAATTCAGATCATTTGAGATCTGGATTAAAAAATCTTCGGTGTTAGAGAAAACAAGCGCAGTTGTATTTTCACAAATGTCCGAATCGCAGAAGAAAATTTACGGTTTTACGTAGCTTGGAGTATGTGTTGAAAATGACTCTCAGCTACTACCACATCAAATTTTATCTCCCTATCTGCAAAACTGACTGCGCTTTAGCCATTTTTATGTTGGCTGAGGGTGATCTGCAGTGGCAGCCATCTTGGATTTAGTTGACTTGATCCATTGATGACTTTCTGGGAATTTAAATTTTGTAGAGTACACAGAAAAATGTATTACTGCTCAAATTTTTCCTTTTGATGATGCGGAATAAATTAAAAACAAAACAGCCAAATAAATATTTAGACAAAATATTACATCATTCTTAAAATGCTTCTAATTTACAGTCTGGTGGTAAAATGATCAGTGTACTCTAAAACTGACCACATGGAAACCACATTTGTTGCTGCCATTTTAGCTGTTCATTAAAATCAGCTAATGGAGCTCCTCAGCCTCGTCTGGGTCTGAGCTGAATGAAGACATCCAGTGGCTAGCTGCCAAGCAGCCGGCTTTTAATCAGGCCAGACTCATCTAAATGATGTTTGAATTTGCATTTCACTTTACTGCTCGTTTTAGCTCTCTGATCATCACATCTGATTAACGGAGGAAGAACTCTTTGTGACCCACTTCGAATGAGCAGGCACTGAAGTCTGCCAACATCTCTTGTCGCGGTGCCTTTTTCATCCATCCATCATCTCCCGCTTGTTCCAAAGTCGGGTCGTGGGGGCAACATCTGGAGCAGGGAGGTCCAGACATCTCTTTCCATATCCACCTCTTCCTGCTCTTCTGAGATGATTCCACGACGTTCCCAGGCCAACCAAGAGATGTAGTCTGTCCAGCGTGTCCTGGGTCTTCCTGGGGTCTCCTTCCAGTTGGACATGCCCAAAGCACCTTCCTAGGCAGGTGCCCAGGGAGCATCTTTACCAGATGCCTGAACCACCTCAACTGGCTCCTCTGGATGTGGAGGAGCAGCGGTTCTACTCCGAGTCTCCTGATAACTGAACATCTCACCCTGTCTCTAAGGGAGAGTCCAGCTACCCTGCAGAGGAAACTCATTTCAACCTCCTGGATCCACGATCTCATTTTTTCAGTGTCTACCCAGAGTTCAAGACCAGAGGTGAGGGAACGTAGATCGACCGATAAACAGAGAGCTTTGTCTTACAGCTCAGCTCCCTCTTCACCACAACGGACCAGCACAGAGTCCGCCAGTGCCATTTTCTTATTCACAAATTTTCATCTAATCATAGGATGGAGGGCAGCCAGTTATGGTGTTGGGGAAGTGAACTCATCCTAGAACCGGACAGTTGTGACGTAGAGTTTATTTACGTATACAGTAACACATCGGGCTTTTAACGTAGAGGAGGCGCGATAACTTGTTTTTTTTTAATGCCGGTGTCCTGTAACGTGAAACCAGCTGAGGAACTTGGACGGATGCACATTTCGTTTCCTTTAAATATGATAGAAGCAGAAAAGTGCTTAATGCTTTAGTCTAATTGCGTTACTGGAGTCCTTATGCTGTTAGGTAACTGCACTGCTGGTTTTACAACATTGCAAATGGCTTCTTGTTTTTATCTTTTGTCTAAAATGTATTTTTTAAAACCTCTGTGTCCATTTTCAACTTTCAGGATAACTACCACAGCTGCTTGCATGATGGACCTAAGGCGGTATCCTCTGGATGAACAGAACTGCACTCTGGAGATAGAAAGCTGTGAGTAGGGAGGCCTCGTGCCCTTAGATCCGACTGCTCTGAATTATTTTCCAAAAGTCTGTTTTATGAATCTGAAATACCACTTCCATTAAGACGGTACAAAATGGCAGCTGACATTTTAGGAAGAAGACACGTTAGTATTTCCAGCTTAATATTCAAGCTCTTACTTAGAAATATGGACGTTAAGTACAATCGGATATAAACCTGGTGATTTCACAAAGGTTATTTTTGTCAGATTTTAGACAGCTCTTGTTATAGCAACAGAAAACATAATACAACTTGCCCTATGTATAAAGAAATTAAAAAATGTTGCTTTTATACCTAAATTCGCCATCTATCGTCCCACGTTTTTGGTTCTGGCTCTTTGGTTTGGCGGCTGCCAAAGACAACAGCCAAGACAACACTGGCCCTCATCTGACAATAACACAAAGTTCTTTTTCATCTAACTCAGTTATAATTGTTCTGTTTTTACATTTGAAGTAATACACGTTTAAAACAAACTGGCTGCACCAGAAACACTAAATGACCAACGGCGGTAGAAGGACTTCTTTAGCTGGATGACCGTTCTAGTCATTACCATACGGTCAAAGGTTTAATTGAACCATTTCTTCCTCGGGTGGAACAATTATACAACCTCAATTGTTGACGATGAGAATTGGAGGCACAAGTTTGAACTTCTTTTGGATTTTCAACATTAAAGATTAAGGCCAAAATGTATACATTCACCTAAATCTTTAAATAAGTGGTCGTGAAAGTTCTGGAATATCTTTGCCAGCATAAAACAAATTTGTTTGACAGCAACGATTGGCTAGACCAGTGCTCATCTGTCACCGTAAGATAAAAGTTAATTGGTTAAGAAGATCTGGAACAACCCAGGAACCACCAAGCCGGCTATGAACTGGAAAGTGCTGGAACGCCAGTGTCCCTGACCGCAGGAAAACCAGTTTTATGTCACCATGGACTGAGAGGACTACAACCAAGACAAGTCCTGCTCTTAAAGAAACACCTTGAAGCTTGACTGACATTCTTTAGCGTTATCCCATTTCACCAGATAGAGGGATTAAACTTGGCCACATGGGTTTTCCAACACAAAACACTTACGGAATGGCTTTCCCCAAGCTCTAACCCAAACAGACATTTGTGGACTATGCTTAAAAGCTGCATCTGTGCCAGGAAATCAGCGACATAGTCAATAAACTACCAATTCAGCAAAGAAGAAAATAAAGTCATCCATCCTGAGTTATACCAGAATCGTGTTGATGTATACAAAAAAGATGTGTAGTTACTCAACTTGCCAAGGAATATTTGACTACAAAGTGTGAGTGTATTACAACCTATATACATATCATACCTGTAAACTTGTCGCTTTTCGGCGAAATTTGCCGATTTCAATCAAAAATATGTCATTTACGTGAATCACCTAGATTCAAAGTTGGATTTTTTTCGGGGTCAGAGGCGTGGTAGATGGCATAATATCCCATTGACTTGACGTATGTAGCGCTAAAATAGAGTTACGTAAGCCGTGCTAGTTAGCTTGAAACAATGCTCGCGTCAGCTCATACGCTCTAAGCTAGTGCACTCACGTAGTGCTAGCTTAGTGCTACGCAAATCCCGGAAGTTGTCAACCGTGGGGGGGTAGGGTAAGGGTAAGAATGCGTTAGAGAAGCAGAGCGCTACATCTGTAGCATCTTAGCTAGCACATCTGTATTGTGTGCTGCTAGTTTAGTGCTACGTATTTAAGAAATGAGTTTATGCTATTAGCAAAATGCTCTTGGCTAGATGTTGTTGTCGCTAGGCTTTTTTTTTTTTTTTTTTTTTGGTTGACTAGCCATCTTTCCTATGGATGTCCAAAATAAATTAGGATATGTTAGTAAATGTGTTTTCCCCTACTTTTCTTGGAGTGTACCAGAATGCTTAATTTACATGTTAAAAATCACTAAATCGTCCCGATGCCCACAGGGAAACCCCATCCCTTGTGAGTTTGCAGGTATGATATATAATTTTGCCCGTTTGGAGAAAACCATCAGTAAATTCAGACATCTTGTCTTGGAAACTCACTATTCTGTATATTCATTCCACTTTGGATAAAAAACTGTAAATCTTTAATGAGATCGCATCACAGATAATTGTGGAATCTCTTGGTAAAAAAAAACAAAAAACAGATGAGTTTTTATGATCGTACATCCAAACAGTTCTACCTCCTTTGTAGGTAGTTGCAGAAAAATGTTAAACTTGAAAAAAACGAGCTGCTTCAGAAATGTCTCACAGCCTCGTACGGTTGGACGACAATTCTATCCCGATTGCATTTCAGAAAGTTTCCCAATTAAAAAAGTAGATTTGTAGCCTTAATTTACTGTTTACATTAAAACACTTGTACCGAAACATAGTAATTGCAGTAAATATTGTTATGAGCTCCTTCTTCAAAGCTTTGCTGATTATTGTTAGTCTCTATTAACAGGGTAATCATTTACCCCTGGCATGCCAACTACATGGTATTTTAGAAAACAAGAATTTTAATTGTGAGTTATGCACAAAGATAAATACATATTAGATGTTTATGTAAGAGGTTAATAAAGTATGAGATCCAAAAATAAAATTAAACCCTCCTGAAGTGACGTAAACCCATTAAATGTCTGGCTTTTCCAAGCAATGTTCGGTTCTTGGAAGCAGCTTCAAATTTTTTTCCTCTCTTCCCAAATGGCAGCGCAGTTGGACGATCCGCAACACTGCGTATCTTGGTCTCCAGTGATGGCTTTTGACAGATGGTTACACCTTGGTGTACGTGTGTTTCTTCTTCTTCTACAGACGGCTACACCACAGACGACATCGAGTTCTACTGGAAAGGAGGCGAGGCTGCCGTGACGGGGGTGACGCGCATCGAGCTGCCGCAGTTCTCCATTGTCGATTACAAACTGGTTTCCAAAAACGTAGTCTTTTCCACAGGTAAATATTGAACAATGGTTTGAATTGATACTGTACATAATTCCTTCAAAGGACTCGTTTACAAGAGAGACCAGTTTTAGACAGACCACAATCTTTAGCCCAACAATCTGAACCTTGTTGGGTTGGTCAGCGCTGCATATAAGTTGAAATATGAAGTACCTTTAGTGAATGCAAGCGTTCAGAGGTGGCACTTAATCGAATCAGAATGTAAATCAAGGAGCAGATTATTGCCACCTCAGGTAGTTGTTGACCCTGAGGAGACGGTTTAATTGGATTAATGGTTTCGTCATTGCACTGGAAGGAAACGAGAATGCCAGTTAGTTTGTTGAGGACTTTGCATCAAGCTTGCAGGGGTAATTGAAATGAGGAAGGTAATACGCACAATGACTATATCATATACTTTACCCATACGAGTGCTATTCAACTAAATTAATCAGGGGGCCACAGTTACTGAAAGCAAAGATCTCAGGGGCCGGACATCCAGCAGTTATTCTTGGATAAAAATATCCTTATATTATATACTGTACTTTCAAAAAAGGAGCCACACTCGAAGACAGGAGAAGATTTTTAACCCAGTTTACTTGCAAGGACAGACGTTCACACAGGCTTACACAGACGTCATCATACTATTAATGAGTAAATGGTGGACCAAATTGAGCTCACCTGTGGACCTCACCAGGCCACCAGTTGAATAGGCCTGACCTATACTACATATATATATGAATCTTCCCTTCAAGACATGTCATTACGGACGTGTTTGGGGACATGTCCTGCGAAAAGAAGGAAAAGAGGTGTGTAGTTTGTGTTTTTCTGTCAACACGTGTCTCGTGGTTAATTGGTGTTACAAAACACATCAGTCAGGTGATATTTATAGCTTCAAAACAGAGATCGTCTACAGCGTTTCACCTTCCAGGGCCAGCGATAACAAACAAGGAGACACGCTAAGGCAGTTTGTGGAGGTGAAAAACACCGTATCACGTTTCGTGTTGTAATTAATGCCTCGGTACAGCGTGGAGGAATAATTCAACGATACTTACATCCCTCAGGGAGTTACTTGACATGCAGTAAACTTTGATTTTGTACTGCGCCACACACACACACACGTCTTAAATTAATTTTTATGTGTGCTTTTACACCCAGATACTTTATTGATGTCTCCTAAGTGACAGCCAAACAATCTAGGCAGCTCTTGCACACCCAGTTGTGTTTTTTATTTATTTAGAGCTCTGCTGGAGAAATAAAATCCGGGTGACATTTAATAATTGTAAATTTGAGCAAGAGTCATACCCACTAAGAAAGGGACATACACCTTAAATCACACATTTGTTTGCTTTTTTTAGGGGGGTGTATTTAACGCTGTATCCTTGGTTTCCAAAGAGCGTCCCCTCCCGAGCTGCTTTTCAAACGGTCCCATCTCATGGTTTCACAGCATTTTTACCTTCGGCCATTTCTGTCTTCTTGTGCCGGAGCGTGTTTGTTTTGCAGAGACCGTACGTCCCCCGTGGAAGAAGATTATTATTTAGTGTCCAGGATGTTTGAGGCGCATCAAAGGATCTCTGCGCTGCTGAATAACGATCCGGTTTCCTTCGTTACACGTGTTACGAGGCAGCCTGTTTCTTTTCTCCCCAGCTCATTTCAGTGTCTCTCCCAGCCTGTCACTTCTCGTTTTTCCTTCTACTTTCTAACCTTTTTCAGCTTTTTCCCTTCTGCTTGTAAAATGTGAGCTGAGACACCAATTATCCTGCTAAAAACCGATCAGAGTTCAGGGTGTTGCATTATTACACATACTGTAGATCACGACATGGCACAAGCTCTCAGTCAGTGGTTTCTTAGATCACACTGGTTGGTTGGTTTTCAAACTATCTCTCAGATCGGAGGCAATGTGTTCAATATAACGGTACTTCATCTAGCCACCTAACGATCACTAATGGTGTGCCACAAGGCTCAGTTTTAGGACCCACCCTTTTTACTATTTCTATAAGTAATGTAGGTTCAAACATTCCTGACACATCCTTGCATCTATGCTGATGATACAGTGGTTTATTGTCAAGTTATCACAGTTGCCACAGTTTTCCAGCTTCTACAGTTTGTATTTGACATCATTCAGTTTGACTTATTCCATCCCAAACTGGTGCGAAATACTGATAAAACCAAAAGGATGTTGTTTTCAAACAGAACGTTGGTGCCAGCTGTTCTTCCTCCTAACTCATCCATGCTTGGTGTTCCTATTGAGTTTGTAGATTCTTACAAATACTTGGGAATTTTGGTGGATGCACATCTCTCTTTTTAAGCCGCATATTGAAAACTTGAGAAAGAAACTGAAATTAAAACTGGGTTTCTTTTTCAGAAATAGATCTTGCTTAACTCTGAATGCCAGAAAACGCCTTGTCTTCCTTCCCTCCATGGACTAAGGTGACATTATTTACATGAATGCCCATGCCAGCACTCTGCAGATGTTGGATGTTGTCTACCATGGCACGATGAGATTCATAACTGGTTGTAACTACCGTGCCCATCACGGTTTCCTGTACTCCTTGGTCAGTTGGTCATCATTTGTGCACGTAGGCTCTCACACTGGTTCATTTCCATCTTTAAATCACTTCTTGGTCTACTACCTTCTTATATCTCCTCCCACATGTCGTGCCGTCAGTGCAGTTACAGCGTGCGCTCTCAGGACATCATTACTTGCAGCGTTCCCTCAGTTTGGACTGAACTTGGCTAAAAGGCTTTTTCTTACTCTGCTCCTGCACCTGGGATACTTTGCAACAGGAACTGAAGTTGACCACCTTGATTTCTTTAAGGGGTTTCAACATTTGATAAGATCAATAGAAACATCAAAGCAAATGTGCTCTTGTTTTTAGTATTGTACATTGTTTTATATGACATTGGGCAGTGTGGTGGTGCAACAGGTAGAGCTGCTGCCTCTCAGCAAGCAGGTTCAAATCCCAGTCTGGGGATCTTTCTGGGTGGAGTTTGCATGTTCTCTTTGTGCATGCGTGGGTTTTCTCCGGGTACTCCGGTTTCCTCCCACAAACCAAAAACATTCATGTTAGACTGATAGTAACTCTAAATTGTCCCTAGAAGAGTGAGAGAGTGAATGTTGTTTGTCTTGTTTGTCTCTATGTGTCCCTGTGATGGACTGGAGACCTGTCCAGGTGTCCCCCGCCTCTCTCACAGTGATTGCTGGAGACCCCGCGACCCAAAATGGAAGAAAGGGATAAAAGATAATGGATGAATGGATTATATGGCATCTTAATTTATTGTTTTATAACACTACTTCTATTTTAATTGCATTTTACTGTACTTTATATGTTGTCTGTCTAAAACAGGTCTCTCTTGTAAATGAGTCCTCGTGAGTCAATGAGACTAACCTGTAGAAATCAAGGTTTTCTTCTGTAGCTCAAGTATTTGGAGGTGTACGCACATGTCTGATGCGCACATGACTAAACAAAATGTTTAAGAGAGTTACTCGTAGCGTCTCTGATATCGTCTGTTTTTAAACGGCAGCAGTTCGAGGAGTTTTAAATCTTCAAAATCGTTTATGTTCGATTAGTTTTGCACCGTTTGACACTGCAGGCCTCAAATTTTCCTACAAGTTTATGAGTTTTAGAGACTATGAAATGCTTCATTTAAAGCTTATACGAGGGCGGACGTATTGAAACGGTATAATCGTCACCTGTAAACTTTATTTTTTGTTCTTTCCATAACTTCAGACCTGCTCAAGATAATTTAATAAAACTTTATACACACATGCATCATCAATAGACAGAGTGTAGCATACATTTTACATCACACCAGCTCTAAAGTCAAGGTCACAAACTATACAGGGTCTTTGCTTGTCTGGGCCATTGCTGTCTAATAGTTAGTCAACGAGTGTATAATGGGTCGCATGTGGCAAATGTCTTTAGTCCATCCATCCATCATCTTCCACTTGGTCCAGAGTTGGGTTGTGGGGGCAGCAGTTTGAGCAGGGAGGTCCAGACATCTCTTTCCACAGCCACCTCTTCCAAATCCTCCTGAAGGATTCCAAGACTCCAGATACCCTACCCTGTATATGCAATCTCTTTAACGATCTCTCTCTAGTTTCAGGAGTGATTTGCGACAAAAGGGTGTCAGCAAAGGTCAAAGGAAAAGTTTACAAGACATTGGTGAAACCAGCTATGTTGTATGGTCTGGAGACAGAGACAAGGAGACAGAACTGGAAGTGGCAGAAATGAAGGTGTTGAGGTTCTCCTTAGGAGTGACAAGGATGGATAAGATTAGAAGTGAGATCATCAGAGGTACAGCACAGGTTGAGCAACTGGGAGATCAAGTTAGAGACCAGACTGAGATGGTTTGGACATGTCCAGAGGAGGGACAGTGGGTATATTGGTAGAAGGATGTTAGAAATGCAGCTGCCATGGAAAAGACAATGAGGAGATATATGGATGCAGTTAGAGAGGACATGGAGGTAGTTGGAGTGAGGACAGAGGATGCAGAGTGAGATGGAGGAGGATGACTCGCTGTGGCGACCCCTGAAGAGGGAAAAGCTGAATTAAGAAATATCTGCAGTCACTTTCATTTAGTCGCTACCCAAAGATTGTAACCATATGAGGGCAGGAGCATAGACCAAGTGGTAAACAGAGAGCTTATCCTCGCAGCTCAGCTCCCTCTTCACCACATTGGACCGGCACAGAGTCCGCAGTACCGCAGAAGCTGCACCGATCTACTGCATCCGACAATCTCACGCTCCATTCTTCCACCGCTCATGAACAAAACGCCCCTAGACACTTCAACTCTTCCACTTGAAGCATAACCTCACTCCCAACCCAGAGAGTGCAGTCCGCCCCTTTTCAACTGAGGACCAGAGCCTCAGATTTGGAGGTGCTGATCCTGATCCCAGCCGCTTCACACAAGGCTGCGAACCGCTCCGGTGAGAGCGGGAGATCATGGCATGATGACGGCAACAGGACCACATCATCTGCAAACAGAGACATAATCCCAAAGCCACTAAACTCTACACGTAAAACGGGACATAACTCAGTGGGTGTTATAGACACTGAGCTGATTTTTGACGTGGTAGTCACTGATACATATATCATGTATATGACATATGCATATCTGAATGTGGCATGTCATTTCTTAACATGGGAAGGTTTTAGTCTAAAATATGAAGGGAGGCAGGCGATATGCATTCTTCACAGAAACGATAGATATTTAATTATTTTTTTTCCACCTCCTCCTCCTCCTCAGCTTCACACATGGCGTTCCTCCCACTCACGGATGTTGTTTGGTGTAGCTGTTATAGCAGTTCCACACCTACACGCTGCTGTACCTCAGCCTCCTCGTCTCAAGTCTCTTCGGCGTTAGTTCCTCAATGGAGACACTCGAGTCTGAATTAGACTGGAGGAGCTGCAGAAACGGAAGTGAAGAAGTTTTTTTTTAAGCCCTGCGATAGCCTGTTTCTATTTTTACACTTATGTATGTTAATTACGTGTCGAGTTGGCTCCAAGTTACAAAAGCTGTTACCCAGGAGCCAAAAATAGGATAATCCAAAGTGCCATAGGAAGTGCTGAGTATTTTTAGACTGTGAGTTTACATTTATTGATTTATAAGGACAGAAACGCCAAAGATTTTCGTTGTATATAATGTGCTAAAAAGAAATCCGTGTTTGTGTTACAGCTTTTAAATTGCAGGGGTTTGCAGATTTATATTTAAATAAAAGGCTATCAGGACAGTAAACATTAATAAAACAGATTCTAAACTAAATTTTAAAAGTCTCTTGGCGGTGTAGGGTTTACTCACCGGGTTCACGTCTCTCCTGTCATTGTTGAGAGATTCTATCCAGTCCTACATGTTGGACCACCTCTGTATTAAAGCTGTAGATCAAATGATTTGAACTGGACTTGTGTGGTTATGAACAAACATCTTTCTTGTTGTAGGTGGCTCTTTGAAGGAGTTTATTTCTGACCGTAATGATGAGCTAATGGCTAGTTAGTCAATTGCTCCCGTCTAAAAACAACTGTCTCAAAATCTTCTTTCGGCTACGCCTGTGTTAGCATATTAGCATCTGTTAGCATTTTAGCTTGTGTTAGCATATTAGCATGTGTTAGCATATTAGCATGTGTTAGCATTTTAGCATGCTAATCTGGTAACTTTTTTTTGCTCCTATCATCAAAATGTTTAGTTTCAATATTGTGAAGGTGGGTTTTC